GGTAGACAAAGCTACAGAAACAGGAAGCAGAATTGTGGTTGCCATGGGCTAAGGGGATGGGACAAATGGGGAGTTATTTAATGGATACAAAGCTTTAGTTTTAAAAGATGAAAAAGTTCTAGAGGCTTACTGGACAATGATGTAAATATGTTTATAAGACTACTGAACTTATTTAAAAATGATTAAGATGGTAAACTGATTTTTTTAAGATCACAATCTAAAAAAAAGATAGAAATCAACATAGTCTTCCCATTTGGTCAATAACACAAGTCATTTTTAAACATAGTAAGTGAATTTAAGAGAAAACACAACATCATAATCACCATAAGAATGAAGACTCAATCAGCTCTCACTGACCACACGGCCTGCATGACCCTCTGTGAAGAACACAAGTACACCAGCGTGGTGACCCGAAGCACTACACCTTAGACAGAAACTTCAAGGAGCAACCACGACCCCGCTGCACCACTGGGCTTCTGAAATGAAGGAACTGGGGCAGGCGCTTCCCAGGGAAGGCAACTGGAAGGCTGAGCTTAGTACTGCTGTGATTAGTGGTTCAAAACTTGAAACATGCAAGAAAAAGACAAGTTAGAAGACTGACTTCACAGCTATATACCTCCGGTTGCCGAAACCTTATCAAATGTCTCCAATCCTCAATTTCCCCAGCAACAGGATGGAAGTGATGACTGTAGCAAGTCACTGAGCACAGTGACACATTCACCACTACCAGTTTTGTCAGTAGTAGTAACTTCAAAGAGGTGGAGCTTAAATTTCCACAACATACCATCAAAGGGAACAATCCAAGGTTGAAGTTGAGGTAACTGGGATATTTTAGAACCAAGGAAATAACTTCTACTTTATATATGCACTTAGCTTAAATTGTTTGCTCTTTTGATAGTCACTTCAGTTCACTTCAGTCGCTCAGTCGTGTCCGACTCTTTGCGACCCCATGAATGGCAGCATGCCAGGCCTTCCTGTCCATCACAAACTCCCGGAGTTTACTCAAACTCATGTCCATCGAGTCGGTGAAGCCATCTCATCCTCTGTCGTCCCCTTCTCCTCCTGCCCCCAACCCCTCCCAGCATCAGGGTCTTTTCCAATGAGTCAGCTCTTCACATCAGGTGGCCAAAGTATTGGAGCTTCAGCTTCAGCATCAGTCCTTCCAATGAACACCCAGGACTGATCTCCATTAGGATGGACTGGCTGGATCTCCTTGCAGTCCAAGGGACTCTCAAGAGTCTTCTCCAGCACCACAGTTCAAAAGCAGTAATTCTTCAGTGCTCAGCTTTCTTCACAGTCCAACTCTCACATCCATACATGACCACTGGAAAAACCACAGCCTTGACTAGACGGACCTTTGTTGGCAAAGTAATGTCTCTGCTTTTTAATACGCTATCTAGGTTGGTCATAACTTTCCTTTCAAGGAGTAAGCATCTTTTAATTTCATGGCTGCAATCACCATCTACAGTGATTCTGGAACCCAAAAAAATAAAGTCTGACACTGTTTCCACTGTTTCCCCATCTATTTCCCATGAAGTGATGGGACCAGATGCCATGATCTTAGTTTTCTCAATGTTGAGCTTTAAGCCAACTTTTTCACTCTCCTCTTCCACTTTCATCAAGAGGCTTTTTAGTTCCTCTTCACTTTCCACCATAAGGGTGGTGTCATCTGCATATCTGAGGTTATTAATATTTCTCCCAGCAATCCTGATTCCAGCTTGTGCTTCTTCCAGCCCAGCGTTTCTCATGATGTACTCTGCATCATGAGATGCAGGTGTGACAATATACAGCCTTGACGTACTCCTTTTCCTATTTGGAACCAGTCTGTTGTTACATCTGCTTTATTAAGTTATCAACAACACACCACACCAAGTATATTTAAAAGCTCTCATTTGCCTGCAAAAGTCAAGTAAAAATAAAAGTCACAGGACTTCCCTGGAGGTCCAGTGGTTAAGAATCAGCCTGCCCATACAGGGGACACAGGTTCGATCCATGCTCCAAGAAGATCCCGCATGCCTGGGGCAACTAAGCCCGTGCGCCTCGAGCCGAAGCTCTGCAACAAGAGAAGCCCCGGCACAGCAACAAAGAGTGGCCCCGACTCGCGACAACCAGAGAGAGCCCACGCACAGCAGTGAGAGCCTGGAGCAGTCAAAAATAAAAACTAATTTTAAAAACATTCTCAAAGCTAAGTAAAATACAAAATCATAGTTCATTTTTGATCTAAGAGTGTATTAGCCAGCAAGCTCCAGGACAGAATGGCACAGAGAACACCTTGGGAGAAAAAATGCAGATCATCTCTTAACTAGCTTTCCTGCCTTGGAAAGCAAAATGCTGCTGCTGCTAAGTTGCGTTGGTCTTGTCTGACTCTGTACGACCCCTAGACAGCAGCCCACCAGGCTCCCCCTGTCCCTGGGATTCTCCAGACAAGAACACTGGACTGGGTTGCCATTTCCTTCTCTAGTGCATGAAAGTGAAAAGTGAAAGTGAAGTCGCTCAGTCATGTCCAACTCTTCACCCCATGGGCTGCAGCCTACCAGGCTCCTCCGTCCATCGGATTGTCCAGGCAAGAGTACTGGAGTGGGTTGCCATTACCTTCTCCGGAAAGCAATATAGTCTCAGGAAAACTTGAAAAGGTCACTAATAGCCGTCCAGAACCAAATCCAATACTTTTCCATCCAAATCTTCCTTTGCCTCTTAGCCAATGGGATACTACCCTCCTCCTCCTCCTCCATGTCCCTGGGCTTCCCTATCCTAGGGTACTCCGCAATCACTACCAAAGGGTAGATGCTCCCAAATCTTTATCTCCAGCCTAACTCTTTGTCTTAAGTTCCAGACCTGATCTCCGACTGACCACCAATCCACTTGGCCACCCATAAGCACTGTGGATTTAACCGACCCAAACCCACACTCACCATCTCCTCCTCCCATTTTTCCCATCGTGGTGGGCCTCACCTGCCAGTGAGTCACCCAAGTGAAAGACAAGGAAGTGATCCTGGATGCATTCCTTCACATTATATGCCAAGGAGCGACACTGAACACACCAGCGCCCTTGTGGAGACTGTGGATGTAAGTGGAGCAGACAGATGATAAACTAAACAAGAAAATAATTAAGTAGGGAATTTCCTGGCGGTCCAGGGGTCAGGAGTCCATGCTCTCACTGCCAAGGGCCCAGTTCAATTCCTGGTCGGGGAACTAAGATCCCGAAAGCCAAGCGGTATGGCAAAAAAAAAGAAAAAAAAATAATAAGTAAAATGAGGTAGTATTGCAAACAGTGAGACACGCCAAGGATTGCACGGGGAACTGAGGACACACTGACACCCAAGAACGCAGACTCCGGATCGCCTGGACACACCTGGCTGAGGGCAAGATGGAGGTGAGGGGAAAGACGGCTGGGGCACTGCCAGAACACCGGAGAACTGCAGCAGTGGGGGACGGGCGAAACCCGCCTGCAGCCCCACCCTCCCCCGGCAGTCCCTCTCCAATTCTGCTCCCGCGCTCCTTTCACCCTGCCTGGTAACCCGGAAGCTGTGTCCTCGGGAGCACCCGAGCCCTCGGCACACACTGCCTCTCCTGCTCTCACCCTCGACCTCGCCCCTTCCCAATCTGCAGCCCCTTCCCAATCTGCAGCATCACCACTCCCAGGCCCGCCCCGCTTTTCAAGTCTCACAGCCAGACTAACTTGCGCAGAGCATTCAGCACACGTTTACTGTGGTCTATGGTCCAGACTTCGAGCTGCCCCCGAGGACAGCGCCTCCTCAGCAGAGCACCTACCCCTCAGCCGGTTCTCAACAGACACAAAGACCGTGCCTTCGCTTCTTAACAAGCGAATCATGTTTATCCCAGGCCACAAAGCTGACATCTAAATCTCCCAGCACTTTGTACTGATCATATATTTATTAATAAAGTTCTGCTTTCTTGTATTTCACTTACACTCCAGGCTATATGAACCCTACAGTTTATTTAACTTTTCATTTTTCTATTTCTAGTTTTCGTTTTATAGAATTATAGTCTGAGATAGTTTATAGCCCTACATGGAAAGCTACACATTGACTTATTTTTCAACATTATGAAACATGCTTAAGAAGGTATAATTTTTTAAAACAATGTAAAATGTAAGTAACTGCAGTTAAGCTTTTACTTACTATAAAATATTTTAGGTATTAGGTACCTCTCCTCAGAGCCTTCTCCTCCCTCCTCCTTGCTGGCGATTCCCATGCATGCCCTTCTTCACTATGCACTGTAGACAGTACTCTTAGAAAACACTGCCAAGCTAGGTGACCGAGCCAGGACACAGTGAGATGACCACCCCACTGTCATGTCATGACAGCACAGGGTGGCCAGACGCGTCTGCAACATGAGGCTGCATCCTTGGATGACTCGGAGAAACTGGCTCTTAAAGAGAGGGTCCTCCCCCCACATATAATCCCACACAATTTGGAATTTTTAGCATTTAGTATGTCTGTACTCTTAGAAGTACCTAGAAAACAGAACAACGGATCAAATTTCCCACCTTAACAAGTCTTGCTGCCAGTCCCTGAAAGAGGGTCATCCTAAATAAGATTATGAGATTTAAGGGCGCTGTTCCAATTTCTAATGGAACTATTCACTGAACTATTACAATGTATATACTGAGCTAATTATTCCAATCAATGGCTTAGTCATGCTCTACGAAGAAAGTCTAAAAATTTAACCCATGCAAAGAATCAAAGAACCAACTGACCCTTCACACAGCAATTTAAATGGTGTATCACAAATGTTCTGCTCTCACACTTTTAGAAAAACATTTTTTTCCAAGAACTCCTTATCAAACGGTTAATATGCAAACTCTGAATATGTAGCTTAAGGAAAAGGTTAAAAAAAGCAACAATACATAATCTCTAATACAAAACTGCCTGGCTCTACAAATCTTTTCATTTTTTAAAGAAAAATGTGCAGCAAATGTGACCAGAGTACGTATTCCAGGGCAGCGATGCTGCAGGTTAAGCAGGCGCAACTCCAACCTAGGCGAACGCTGTGGGTGAGACGTTGAGGGTCTGACACTGGAAGAAAGGGGTCGCGGGCGGGCGGGGTCCAGCCGGCCTCTCTGGAGGGACCAAGCACGCTTCCGAGCCTCCGGCCGCCCGCCCAGGAGCGTGACAGGCGCGTCCGCCCAGGGCGGTGCCGCGGGAGAGGGCGGAGGCCGGAAGGAAGGGGACGAGCTCGGACAAAGCCAGCCAGGCCGACCGCCCCCTCCCCGCGCGCCCCGGGCCCCGTCCCGGGGCGGCTCCCGGGCCCCCAGCAGCCCCGCAGCATCCTCGGCCGCCCGCGCGCGCTGTCTCCCGCTGCTGCTCCTCGCAGCTGCAGCTCTGCGCCCGGCAGGGTCCGGCTCCGCCGCTCGCGCCGCGGAAAATGGCGTCTCCGAGTCCCTCCCCCGGCTCGGAGCTCCCGCCCCATCATGCCGCGCGCCTCCGTGATGTCACCTGCCCCGCCGCCGTGGGGCGGGGCGGCCCGGGAGCCCGGGGCGGGGCGGGCGGAGCGCGCCTAGGGGATGGAGATGCGGTCCCGGCCAGCCGCCGCGGGCAGCCGGGGGGCGGGGAGGGGGCCCTCCTGGGGCGGCCCCGCGGGGGTACGGGGCAGAAGGGGGCCTGAGGAAGGCGCTAGGAGAGCATGGCCGGTCAGCACCACGCCTGGGCCTTTCCCTCCTGGGCGCGCCGACTCGCGCTCTCACGTAGCAGGAATAATGTTTATTCTCATGCTTTATGTGCACATTTAAATCTTTCCAGAACCCTTGAGGCGGGGTGGGCTAGGGGAGCTTTCGCCAGCCCCACCGCAGGAAAGGGTCCAGAGGCGCTAGGCTAAGCCAGGAGGCCGCTGTCCAGGAAAATCCAGTCTTTGGTGGAGACCTGGCTTCCAAGCCCCCGTGCCCTGCCCGTCGTCTCGTTCCCTCGCCCCTGGGCCATCGGGTCTTAGAGGGCCCGAGCTCAAACGCACTGTCCAGGCTCTCCCCTCAGCCACCATGGCCTCGCAGGAACGGCACCCCAGGCTCACGAGCGGGGTGGGCTGCTTACTTAACCCCTACTTCCGGCAAAAACAGAGATGCCACCTCTGCTGTCGGACCCCACCCGGCAGCCATCGCCAGGGCACACCCCTGGCCGCGCGGTGCCACGACCTCCAGCCCAGCCCGAAGGGCAGTACTTCCAGGTCAGGCCGTGCTGCTGGGCCCCATCCTGCTGCATCGCGGTTCTGCGGGCCTGACTCAGCAGCCAGCCCAGAGGACGTGCTGATGCAGTGGGAAGGCTCAGCTTTCCTTGCCTGCCACCAGCCTGGGAGAACCTCGTCCTCCCTACCCGCCCCAGCGCCTGCAGAGGTCCCGAGGGCCATGATGAACCAGGAGGGCTTTCTGCGCCACCCCCGCCCCCGCACACTTGCTTTTGAACTGCCGAGCTTTTCGGATGTCACCGCCCCAGCGCCAGCAGCCATTTTAACCCTGCAATCACTGAGTCACCCTGGAGGAGGCAGATGCCCCTAGATTTTCACAGGGAGGGCCAGCTCCTTTGCTTTCATTTATAAATGCGAAGTTGAGCTAAAAGTGGGGACTCTCCTAAAGTGACACAGCAATTACTGGGCAGAGAGAGACCAGCAGTCAATCAAACCACCCCTCCACACCCCCTCACTGGATCAGCCACACCGCAGCTCGGATGTGACCTGCTCCTCAACCACCGCCTTAGACCGGGCATGGTGGGCAGCTGTGACCAAAGTGCTGCACAGAAGGACGAGCAGGCTGAGCGAGGCTTCCTCCTCTGTCTGTGACTCTGGGCTCGGTGACTGTTCCTTCCACTCACCCATCATGGAAGCAAGTGAGGGACCTGGGATGCTCATGCCCTTTTCCGATGGGTGGCCAAAAGTGGACGTCTTTACGATTGCTCGAGCCCACCCCTCCTGCATCCCCACTGCTGCCAAGATGTTCAGGCTCTATTATCTCGTTCTTTTATTCTCAACAAATATCTGTTGAACTGCCAGTGGTCAACATAAGATCCATCATGCGCTGGTAAACAGGATACAGAAGATACCTGCTCTTGCTTCTGCAGTGCTCAACGATGCCTAGGCGGCTCAGTGGTAAAGAATTAGCCTGCCAAGCTGGAGATGCAGGTTGGATCCCTGGGTTGGGAAGATCCCCTAGAGAAGGAAATGCTTGCCTGGAAAATCTCACAACCAAGGGGAACCTGGTTGGCTACAGCCCATGCGGTTGCAAGAGTCAGGCACGACTGAGTGACTGAGCAGGCACACACGATCACCACTGGCAGAGGCAAGGTGATGGGGTCAACTCTGAGGCAGGCAAGTGAGCTGAGATCTACAACAGAAAGGAGCCAACTGCAAAGCAGCTGGGGACACGAGGATACTCCAGGCAAAAGTCCTCGGGTGGGAATGAATCTGAAGCAAAGACGAAAAGAGAAAAGAGCAATCATCCATCATACCCGGGGACCCTCTTGGAAGCACAGCGAGGCACCCTCCTCTGGGCATCTGGGCGGAGCGCCCATCCTCACCCACGGTCTCTCACTGAGACCGGCAAACATCTGTCCATCTGTCCATCCTCCCTGAGGATCCCAGGCATCCTGTCTCCTTCAGTCCTCTGACTCTCACAGTGACTCCCAAGAGAAGTGCCACTTTTATAGATGTGGCAGCTGAGGCCCTGCATGTTCGGAGCTCTGCTTGCTGCCTCCTGGGGAAGAGGCATTCATTCAGCTTTAGGAACAAATGGCAGGCCCTGGGTCTCCGTGTGCAGGCACCCACAGAGCCAGGAGTTGATGCCTTTGTGGTGGGGAAGCCTCTGCAGGGGCAGCGAAGCCTTCATCTGTCCTTCCCATAAACCTGGAGGCAAGCAACACGTTTGCACATCCCTGTAGCCAACAGCCTGCCTGACAGCCTGGGTCCCGGAGGCACAGGGCTGTGCCTGGGGGGCCAGCGGGCACCCCACCCCATAGGCAGGACTAGGGGTTCCTCCCTCCTCATCCCGGGTAAGTGATCTTCCGTCCTGGAAAGGCAGCCGTGGCCGCCTCCTCACTCTCTCGGCCTGTCTCTGTCTCTCCATCATCCTGCCCTCCTCTGCTTCTGTCTCCTTTCCACCTTCCACGCCCCTGTTCTAGCCCCCGAGACACCAGCAGGCAGCCTGTAGGCCGAGACAGAGGCTGGGGCTGCTGTACAGCCCCCAGGGCCCAGATGGAGCAGTGGCTGACGTCCCTGGTCAGTGAAGAGTGGGGAAGGGAAGAAACACTCTAAATGCTCAACTCCTGCTATTTGGAGTCACTGAGGCATCACACACAGTCAGTTCAGTTCAGGCACTCAGTCGTGTCCGACTCTTTGCGACTCCATGGACTGCAGCACACCAGGCTTCCCTGTCCATCACCAACTCCCAGAGCTTACTCAAACTCATATCCATTGCATCAGTGACGCCATCCAACCATCTCATCCTCGGTCATCCTGTTCTACCTTCAGTCTTTCCCAGCATCAGGGTCTTTTCCAAGGAGTCAGTTCTTCACATCAGGTGGCCAAAGTATTGGAGTTTCAGCTTCAGCATCAGTCCTTCCAATGAATATTCAGCACTGATATCCCTTAGGATTGACTGGTTTGATCTCCTTGCAGTCCAAGGGACTCTCAAGAGTCTTCTCCAACACCACAGTTCAAAAGCATCAATTCTTCAGCACTCAGCTTTCTTTATGGTCCAACTCTCACATCCATACATGACTACTGGAGCCAGAATTTATTGAGAACCACTGATGTCGGGTGCAAGGCTGGGCAAGGGGAGAACGCCCCTGCACAGGTGAGCCCAGGGCCTGCAGCAGCTGAGACAGGAGGCTAGCTAGGAGGCTAGCTAGGTGAGGAGGGTGGGCCAGGTGGGCCAGCGATCAGGGGACCCCTGCAAGAGTGGCATTCGCATGGCAACTGGGATCGCCCCAGCGGAGGAACTGCAGGAAGAAAAGCGTGGTACCCAACAAACCACGCAGCCTTGTGTCTCCAGTGGACAGTGGGGCCCAGTTTTACCATGGTTTTAAAGCATCCATCTTTTTACTGAAAATGTCTGTGGTTGTCTATGTCCAGAGGCAGCCCTTTGGGGGAGACCGGGATCAGCGGTTTCCCTTTGATCCTGCGGGGTCTTCAGAGATGGGGGGAGGTGGCAGTGGCCCCAGTCCCGTGAGGGCCTGAGAAGGAGGAAGGGAGGGAGGGAGGGAGGGGTTAGGAAGCCGGCCTGCCTGGGAGGGGCCGGGAAGCGGTACTTGGGTGGCGTCCCTCGAGTCCGGTCCGGAGGGCGACCTGACCAGTCGGCCCAGGCCACAGGGGCGTTGCTCCCGCGGAAGGGCAGGGAGGGGGTAGGGTAAATACAGGTCGTGCGGCCAGGACCCCCCAATTTCCCGCCGGCCCCACCGAGCGTGCCCCTAGCCTGGGCACCGCCCGCCAGCCCTGCCGGAGCAGCGTGGGCATTCTCGGTCCTTCTCCCGGCCGGCGCACCCGCGGGGACGGGAGCCTGGCATCCAGAGCCCCCGGGCCGACCACTGAGCGGCCGGCCTCACTCTCCGCGGCCGGCCACACCCTCTCGGGCTTCCGTTCTGAAAGTGGCATTTATCAGATTTTCAGGGGCTTTTCTCTTAAAGAACTGGCGCTGCGCGGCTTCACTGAGCTCTGGGAACGGCCCGCTCAGACAAATGGGGAAAGAGCGGCACCCGGGTGGGAAGGGACCGGAGGTGGGCCGGGGGCGAGGAGCGGGGGCAGCTGCAGGGAGAAGCTCCGCCCTCTAGTTTTTTTTGTTTGTTTGTTGTGTTGTGAAGCCTGGGTTCTGCTAGAGAAGTCTGAGCCCGCAGGAGTGCCCTGGGCCCCCAGCGTTCCTGAATGCTGAGTGCAGTTCCTGATTTCCTTCTTTTTTAGGAAAAACCTACACAACGTAGAATGCACGTGTTTGTTTGTTTGTTTTTTAATTTTCTTTTTTCAAATTTTATTTTTTTTAATTTTTAAATTTTCTTTTTTAAAATTTTCTTTTGTTTATTTATTCGGGCATGCCCAGTCTTAGCTGCA